ACACACACACACACACACACATACACACTCTCTTTATTTTTTAGAGCAGTTTTAGGTTCACAGCAAATTGGTTGGAAAGTACAGAGATTACCCATTTACCTCCGGTCCCCACATGTGCATTGCCTTTTCCATTATCAACATCCTGCACCAGAGTGGTACTACTATATGGGACTCCCCATATAAACTTTAGGTAATCAGTTTTTTGATAACCACAAAATAACTTGCTGAAATTTTGATTGGAATTGCTTTGAATCTATAAATCAAGTTAGAAAGAAGTGACTTCTTGACAATATTGAGTCTTCCTATCCTTGAACATGGGATATCTCTCCGTTTATTTAGTTCTTTGATTTCTTTCATCAGAGTTTTATAGTTTTTGTCATATAGGTCTTGTACATATTTTGTTAGATTTATACCTAAGTATTCATTTTTTGAGGTGCTAATGTAAATGGTATTGTGTTTTTAGTTTCAAATTCCACTTGTTCATTGCTGCTATATAGGAAAGTGGAGTCACTTTGGAGTCACTTTTTGGAGTCACCTTGCATCCCATACCATGCTATAATTGTTTATTAGTTCCAGGAGTCTTTTTGTTGATTCTTTCAGATTTTCTACATGGATAGTAATGTCATCCATGAATAAAGAGAGTTTTATTTCTTTCTTCCCAATATGTATACCTTTTATTTCCTTCTCTTGTCTTACTGCATTAGCTAGGACTTCCAGTATGACATGGAAAAGCAGTGGTAAGAAGGGACTTCCTTGCTTTGATCCTGATCTTAGTGGGGAAGCCTCAAGTTTTCACTGTTAAGTATGATGTTAGCTATAGTTTTTTTGTTTTTTTTTTAAATTAAATTGAGGAAATTCTCTTTCATACCTAGTTTACTGAGAGTTTTTAACATGAATGAGTGTTTAATTATATTTTGAAAGACAAAATTCAACATATGTAATGGGAGAAGTAGCAGTCCATGATGCAGTTGAGTTTTTGAATGTCTGTAACTAGTATTTTGAGAAATATATGGCTTGTAAAATTAATATATTATTAACTTATTATTAATTTAGTATTTTCCTTAAGACATCATCAGCTTTTGTGCATAGTGATTGCACTAATTTACATTCCCACCAACAACATACAAGGGTTCCCCTTTCTGCACATCCTCTCCAGCTTTCATTATTGCCTGTCTTTTTGATAAAAGTCATTTTAACTGGGGTGAGATGATATCTCATTATAGTTTTGATTTGCATTTCTCTGATTACTAATGATGAGCATTTTTTCATAAACCTCTTGGCCATTTCTATGTCTTTTGAGAAATGTCTATTCCGATCCTTTGCCCATCTTTTAATCAGATTATTTGATTTTTTCCTATTGAGTTGTTGGAGTTCCTTATATTCTAGTTATTAGTCCTTTGTCAGATAAGTTAGGGCATACTTTAAAATAACTAAAAGAGTGGAATTGGAATGTTCCTAACACAAAGAAATGATAAATGCCTGTGGTGATGGATTCCCCAATTACCCTGATTTGATTAATTCACATTATATGCCTGTATCAAAACATCACGTGTACCCTATAGAGGTACACAACTATTATGTACCCATAATAATTAAAAAGAAAAAAAAGAGCCAGTAAAGAAAGAAAGAAAGAAAAAAAAAGACATCAGCTTTTCTGGGTAAAAAAAGATTATATACACTCACAACATAATATCTTTTTGCTTTGGCTGAGTTTCCCTTGATTTTTGTGTGTGTGTGTGTGTGTGTGTGTGTGTGTGTGTGTGTGTGTGTGAGTGTGTGAGTAATAGAAAAAATGGGAAGAAATGGGCTTCTTGGAGCTCATAGTCTTCCTCCAGTGATAGAATTCTTTATTAGTAAACTATCTCCTGGACACTCTCTCCACCAAACTGCTTTTTACCCCCATTTCATTTGTAGAAGTGCCATGTTCTAAAAGTTCTGGTTATTTCTCCAAATTGTTGGTAGAAATATCATGTTAAGATCTCTGATTACCTCCTTGATGGAGATAATACCTTTGTTCATCCCGGTCTTCTTGAAATCTTCAGCTTTTGGTGAAATCGTGGGCTTTGGTTTCTATCTCTTAACCTTCACCTGGTCTATTTTCTACCTTTCCTTTCATGATATATTTAAGGGCTCCACTTAACACTTTCTATTGGCTAAGAGACTCTCTGTGTGGTCTAATCCTCATTTTTCTGTTCACTAGGACTCTGTTCAATTATTTTCCTTTCCACAGATTCAGCTATCATCTCTTTCTCATTATACTTGTCTCGTTCGGTCTTAAAATATGTCTGCCCATATCAGTCTTGAACTGAGTGTTCTCACTCAAGCTAATCATGGAAAAGATGGAACTATTCATCTTTTTTTGTTTGTTTTTTTGGTATTAAAATTTTATAGTTTTATGAGTATGTCTGTTTCCCTGAACTTGTCAACAGGAAACACCATGGTTTAATTGATTGTTACATATACTCAAATTACTGCCTTTTCTTTACAGTGTATTGCATATCTACTTTTTCTTAAAACTTTTTTTTTTTGTCCAGTTTCCAGTTGCTTATAAAAACTATTGTGATCACCCCAGAACATAAGTATTAGCTGTCTTCCCACCCCTTGCTGTTATTACTATTGTACTGTCATTAATATTAGCTCATTCATTGTGTTTGCCATGTTACTTTTGCAATTTAGAACCAGGCTTCTCAAGCTGGCCTCGGAATGAGCAGCAGTGTGCCAGGAGGTTTGCAGAGCTGAATAAACACGGACCAGTTTCCAGAAGCTTCATTTTGCTCAAAAATTTGGTAGAAAAAATTCAAAGCAAACATAGCTACATTATGAAGTAGAATGCAAAATTCATACGAATTTTTAAGCTAAAATGGGAGACTTCAGTGTCCCTTTTCTCTGCTTAAGGGAATTTCTGTGTTAGTACCCTTATGGTGTGTACCTTGTGTTAGTATTTTTAAGGCATTATTGGGCTTTAGGTTATCCTATGAATAAGGCACCCAAACTCTAAGGCCTTCTTTCTACTGCAAAGCCCTTTCTTGATATTCCTCTTACTACTTATTTTCTTTAAAAATTTTTCTAGGTAATTTCAGCCAGTTACCTTAATTCACTCCTCTGCCCCTCTCATTTTCTGCCATTTGCCTGAAATTCAGCCTGCGTAGCCTCATTTGAATGACAGGTGATGATTTCTACAGTGGTGATTTGTTCTTGCTGGGCTTGGGACTCCTGTGGCTCATTACTCCCAAATTGGAGAAACTTGAGTATCTTGCATACACACTCTATATTTTCCATATTTTCCCACACAATTACACACACACACACACACACACATTTACCCTGTGGGTTTTTCTTTGTCATTCATTTTTCAAGTGTTCATTGTAGTCCTTACACGTATAAAGCACTGCAGGGGTACCCTCAAGGAGATTATTAAGGGAAATAAGACATGTAAAAGGTAGAAAGAGAAATGTTAAAGAGAAACAGATCGAATTTCAAAGAAGTTAAGAGGAGGGAACAATTATTTTCGGCTGCTCTGAACAGAATGAGCTTTTGGCTGTGTAGAATAGAGTAAGTTTCCATGTCTTTATGAGTATCCTTGCTGTCTTGGGATACAAATTGCATGATTCAAAGTGGTCTCCTTAAATACGTGTACATAC